TCTAGATTGTTATCGCCCATGTCTGTTGCTGTTACTGCAACAATGAAATGCTTCAGATGCCTTGAATTCCAGGAATCTGGTCTCTTGCCAGAGCTGCAGAGTGATATGAATAATTTCTGGGCTCTGATACTCAGGATGGATGTGTTCCTGGGATTTTTTTTTGGCAGAAATACCCCGGAGTCTATCTCTCTTAGAGAAGTCAGTGATTTCATGCCGCGAGGCAGGCTCAGAGGCTCCCTTCAGGGTGAGCAACAGCAGAGCAGAGACCTCCACTCGAGGCAACTCTTCCCATTTTTTTCAACAATCTTGATGTAAGAAAAATAGGCCGATACCCAGGAGCAAAGATTGTGAAAGATAAGCCGGGGATGCACCCACAGTTTGTTTCCCCTTATTTTGATGTACTTGGAATAACGTAGCAAGTGTGAATCTCAGTCCGTAGCTTTGGGTGTGCAAGAAACATCACTTATTTTATTTTTGAAAACTTGAGTTCAGTTCTATTTTGAGTTCCTACCACCCACCATAATATCAGTCACTTCGGGGTTTCCCCCACCGACATCGTGGCACAGTTGGGGGGCCCATCAGTGGGAAGTGTCCTCAAGGCCCCTCAGGCCCTGTGGTTGGTTGTCTTGGATGCAAGACCCTGCAGGAGTCTGCACAAGACCATTTCTCTCATGGGGAACCACTGCTCCCGCTGGCAGCCCTTCTGGGAAGTGGGGCCTGAGTACCCACTATAGGACCCTCAACCCTCCTCTTCCTCCCCTGCCTCATGGTTCTTCTCCTTTTCCTACTCTTTCCCCAGCTTATGGAGGCTTTCTTTTGGTTGTGGGAGAAATCCTCCTCCCTTTCTGCTTCCTCCACACCATTCCATCCCTACTCTGATGCTCCCGCTTGCTCAACCTGCTCCAGACCACTGGACTCTTGGTTGTTCCTTGATGAGCCCAAACACTTGTGCCTCAGGGCCTTCCTCATTATCTCCTCCTGAAGCATTCTTCCGTCCTGAAATCCATGTGGCTCAATCCAATATCACCCACTCAGAGAGGCCTCTCTGACCACCCTACATGAAAACACACTCTCCATACTACCCCACCCCCAGACCCAAAATTCCTTATTGCCCTTCAGAGCAATTGCCATCACCTGACATATGATGTATTTATTTGGTTATTTATTTGTTATCTGCCTCCTGATTAGAATATAAGCACCATGATGGCAAGAACTTTATCTATTACATCCCATTGGCCTAGAAGAGTGCTGGGCATGTGGTATATATTTAATATATGTTTATATTTGAAGAATGAAGGAATGAATGGGTTTGGGGGAGTTCCTAAACTATGACAGACACTGTCCTCGACACCAACATTCATTCAACTGGAAGACAAAGCCCAGAGTGGGCAAGGTGGTCCCTGAGTTTGGCTGAGGCTCAGAAATCAAAGAGGTTACATGTAGTGGGAGCACTGGGACTGAGAAGGGAAGCTGTGGTATTGGCTGGGGCTGGTCACGGCATGGGGCTTGGAGGCCAAGCAGCCAAGGGTGGATGAGGGCCATCCTGAGGAATCTGGATGCAGCATGCAAGCTAGACATGGTGCATCCAGCTAGTGTGGACTGAAGACAGTTCAGTATGAGTATGATGAGTATGGACATGGATCACAGAGAACTCTATAAAGGATGCTTTCTAAGTTAGTACTTCCACAGATCGATGCAAGGCACTGTTTGGGGTGCCAGGACAGTGAAAGAGGCAGATAAAAGCTATGCTCTCAGCGAACTTCCATCCTAGTGGAAGAGACAGGGAATATGCAAAACCAGTGGGTAATATGTTAAGGAATAAGGACTAAGGAGAGCAAATGTAGCACAGAGGGGACTAAAACATGGGGCAGCAGCAGGGAAAAGCTCGCCAGGCACCAGTGGGGCAAGGACTTGAAGGGAGCACAACAGTTTCCAGGCAAGGCTGTGCAGTGGGACTCACCTGGTGTGTGCAAGGAGATTATGTGGTCAGCCTGGAATTGGATGAATGCATCAACAACAAAGATCAGTGTCGCTCATTTTGGGCCCAACACTGTTCTGGGCAGTTGGGATATGTTAATGAATAAAACATGCAAGAACCTTGCTCTAGCAGAGCCTGGCTTTTAGACAATAAGTAATCAATATATGGTTATGTAGGATGCTAGAAAGGGGTAAGTGCTATGAAAAAAACAGACCAGGTAAGGGCATCAGAAATTCAGGGAGGTCGCATGTGTGCATGTTGTGTGATCTTAGGTCATTAGCATAAAGAGGTAAAGCCCTGAGGCTGATGGGCGTGCTCACTGCTGGCACACAAGTAGGTAGTGAGTCCGGGGTACTCAAACCGGGGTGACCAGTGTCAAGTGTAGCTGCTGGAAAGATGAGGACCCAGAATTTCCACTAGAGGCCACTGCAGTCTTGTGCGAAGTGGGGCGAAAGCCTGATGGGAATGCCTTCACGTAGGAACACGAAGGGAAACGGAGGCAACAGCATGAACCCTTGTCTCAAGCAACTCTTCTGTAAAAGGAAGGAGAAAACGGGGGTGATAAATGGAGCGACAAAGCGATCAAGACAATTAAAAAAAAATTTTCCCCAATGAGAGAAATAAGAGCATGTTTGTGTGCTGATGGGAATGATCTAGAACATTGGTAAAGCAGGGATATCTGGTGGGATTCAGTGGAGGGCCTCTGTAGAGAGTTTCCATTTTCTCGGTGACTTAGAAAGCAAGATCTTGATCTGAGAATGAGAATTGGGAGCTGTCGGAGATTTTCAGACAAAGGAGGAAGTGGAAATGGTCTTGGAGAGTGGGAGATGAGGGATGGCTGCCAGGAAGCACTGAGAACTTATTTGTGGTTTGTGGTCATGAAGTTGAAGTCAGACCACTCAGCACAGTTGTGTGGTTTGTCTCCAGCCACATTTTCATGCATGGGGTGGATGGAAAGTCAAAATGAATCAGGGGTATGCTTGTGCCAAGAAAGAACAACAACAAAAGAGAAAGTTGAGGGCATGCATGAGGAAGTGGTTATAACTGACTGTGGAATCTAAGCCACACAGGAAGGAAAGTGAGGCACGAAAGGGTCATGAACAGAGAAAATGTGTTCGGATCAACAGGTGGAAAGTCCTGGAGTTAAATCTGTAGTACAGTGTGAATAAGCTGGAAAGATGCGAGGCAGAATGTTTGAGATCGAGGTTCTCAGCTGAAGGTTGCAGTTATTACTAATGACGAAATCAAGGGTGTGACTGTGGCAGTGAGCAGCTGTAGTATGGTAGAAGACAAAACCGTTGTAAGGAAACGAGAAACTGGTAGACTGGATGGATTATTTATGATTGATATTAAATCCCAAGAATTATGAAAAGAGTAGTGTTGGGGAGAGTGACAATGTGCAAGGAACTAAATTCTATATTTTAAATCTTTTATATAAATATGAGGGAGAGAGAAATTTTTTTTGGTCCAAACAGGTCTTTTTTTTTTTTTTTTTAGATTTATTTATTTTAGAGAGAGAGCAGGGGGAGGGACGGAGGAAGAGGGAGAGAGAGAGAATCTCCAGCCGATTCTGCACTGAATGTGGAGCCTGACGTGGGGCTCAATCTCTGAAATCATGACCTGAGCTGAAACCAAGAGTCGGATGCTTAACTGACTCTGCCACCCAGGTGCCCCAAAATGGGTCTTTTTGATAGCTTAGCAGAGAGCCTTAGATCTTCGTCTTCTTGAGGGACTTGTACGACCTTTTTTTTTTTTTTCTTTTTATAATTTACTTTACTGGCCAACGGTTCTTAGCCAGTATTTCCAACATTGTATGTGGGCTGAACTGGTCTTTGCTGGGAAAGGGCATGTCATGTCTTTGCAGGTGAATATGGCTGCATAATAAGAATACCTTGGCCATGGGGAACTTGACTCCATACTACCTTTCTCATATCTTCTCTGAGGAAGAAATTGACTGGTACATAATTGTATATTTCCAGAAATAACCTTAACAAGAAATGTTAAAATAGAGAGATAACCTTTCTAAAAACATGAAAGAAAGCCCAAATAAATGGGAAGTGACTACGTTCCTGGATGAGAAAATTCAGTATTGTGAAGATGTCACCTTGCCCCAAATTAAATGTCAAATTCAAAGGAATTCCAATCAAAATCTCTATGAGATTGTTTTGGACCTCAACAGGTTGATTCTAAGGTTCATTTGGAAGAGTAAATATGTGAAAATGGCCAAGAAATGTTGAAAAAGGATAATGACTTTTGCTACCAGATATCAAAGTATGCTATTAAGTTACAGTAAATGAAAGAGATAAAATACTGGTGCAAAGAAGAGACAAATGGATTGGTGATAGACCTATGTTTATGTGGAAAATAGTATTTGAAAAACAAGCATTTCAAATTAGTGGGAGAATAGTTTAACATAAAACTATTGGTATGTATTTAAGGGAAAAATTAAGTCTTTATATCAGAATATATATAAAAGTAAATTCCAGATAAAGATCAAAGAAAATATAAGAGAACATCTTAACAATAATTAGGGTTAAAAAAAGTCTATTGTGGGGCGCCTGGCTGACTCAGTAGGAAGAGCATGTGACTCTTGATCTTGGGGTCATGAGTTTGAGCCCCATGTTGGATATAGAAATTACTTAAAAATAAAATCTTTAAAAAAAAAGTCTTTTGCAAAAGCAGAACTCTAGAGATAAAAGTCAAGAAAAGATTAACAGTCTTGACAACAAAACTCAAAGAACATTTCTTTTACTACAGATTAAAGTATAAAAACTTCAGGAGAGACAAAAATGCATTTATTGGTGTTTTTGTTTATTAAAAACCACACTGTCTAAAAAAGGATTTGGGAACACTTACAGCAATGAGCATAGAATAGGATAAAAGATAATACACATGCACATATGTGAATGGGGGTGAAGACAAAACACATATATAGAAAGATAAAGTCAATGAGCAAAATATATTCTACAATACCCTAAACAATTTTAGAAATGAATAACATATTTCTTTTTGGACTTCCTAGAAGCCAGAAAAAAGAGGGAAACAACAGCAGCTTCATATTGTCTATAAGAAAACAATTAAGGTGTTTAAGAGACACACGGATTTCTGGTACTGACACAAAAAAGAAATGTCTCTAGTAGGTCCCTTCTTGTCTTTGGAAATAAAAGATCAATAAATAAATCCAGTATAAATGGACGAATCATTTGCCAGATTTAATGTGGCCACATAACGTCAAACAAGGCTTGCAGTTGTAATGTTGATGCTTCCCAGATATCAGTGGGTGTCCACTTCCTGCATCCACATAGCCACTTCACTGGTTTTGACAGGATATCCAACTGCACCAAGCATTTTGTGATTTTTGCAGATGATACTGAAGATTCCAGGGGTCACAGGGGAAGGTGTACACTCAGGGTCTTGCTGCTTTGTTGCCCATTCTCCTCACCATCTAATCCTGCTCAGCCTCTTCATTCCTCCTCCCTGCCTTCCCCTGCCCCTCCTCCCAACGCCACCCAAGCTCAAGCCTTCCTCCATGGGGCAGTCATTTCCCTTTGCCGGTCCTGGTACCAGCCAGTGTTGCCCAAACCCTTGGAACGAGCCATTTACTCAAAGCAGGAAGTTGCAGCATTTCCCCATAAAAATCTGGCTTCTCTGTAAAAGGAATGTCCTCACTCTTCATCCTGTACACTTGGATTGGGGAGCCAGTTGTCCCTCCGTACTTTCCCCAACTCCCACCTGACGGGAGGGACCCCTGCCACGCGGGATGTGCCTGACACTCCTTCCAAGCTAGCCAACATGGTTTAGAGTCGGCTTCACAGAGGAGCGCCTCCTTACACTTATCTCTCAGCTCTGGCACTGGCTTTATAAATAAGCTTCTTATTTTAATTACGAAGCTGCACAGGGGAAGTAGACAATTAAATGAAGAGAATCTGAAATCACTTCTGATCTGGGCGAAGTAAACAAGTGCTTATTTCCAAGACAGTTCTACAAATAGAACACGGGCATGACATAAAGGACATTTGTCAGATTCTCCCCAGGGCCCCCCCCGCCCCGGCCCCATTCCTCGAGCTTGTTCTTGATGTCTGAAGATGTTTTCTCTTCACGTTCTTTGTTTTAGTTACAAGGATCCTGACAAGTGCCTGATTCTCTACGGCGATGATCAGGTAGGTGTGGAGGGTGGAAGGAGAGCGGTAGGCATTTATTCAGGGGCCAGAAGACCATCTGCCATTCTTTCAGGGAGAAGCAAGGGAGGAAAAGGAGGGTGGGAGCATCTGTGTCTTAAAGCGGAGACAAAAAAGAAATACATTATGTCAAATAAAATAAAATACTAAGAGGTAACATGTATGAAGTGCTCGTTCACATGCCTGGTGTTGTGCTTAGTGCTTTCCATTTGATCCATCCAATTCAAACAAACACAAGGTGATGTTACGACTGCCATTTGTGAGAATGGGGAAACTGAGGCATGGAGCAGTCATGCCCTTTTTAAGCGTACATGCTACTGGGAGGTAACAGACTGGGATTGGAACCCAAGCAGTTTGATCCAAGTCTGTGCATTTCACCACTATGCTTTACTGGCTTCGAAGTAAAACAGAAGGGATGTTCTAGGTCAATGTGTGAAGAAACAGGGCCAGAACGAAGAAATTCAGTCTGAAAGCACTGACATCGGATCACAGGGGGAAATGGCACATCTGGTTTGTCTCCCATTAGACAGGGGAGGTTCTTGCAAATCAGGGCCAGAAGGGAGGATTCCTTTCTGTGTACTCTGTTTCCCAGTTACAAATAAGGTTTAAATGCAGATTCCAGTGGGAGGGGAGACAGAGTGCTGCAAACACAACCAAAGTTGAATGGTCTGGTATCCTAGGATCTGCCTGAAGAAAGTATTAGCACAGGGCAAAAGCAGGCCACAGGGCGGGCGCTAGCTCCTCAGTGTAATAGAGGAAGCCGGATAGAGGAAGAAGGAAGATGGAACCATCGCAGACACTGAAATCCAATAGGTCCCGATTTCTAATTTTGCTCAGGTGTTGCCTTACTCTCTACTTCCCCTAAAAACTTTTAATGCAGATTAAAAACAAACAAACAAACAAACAAACCGAGGAGCAGAGGAGAGAGCAGATGGGTACTTTTGCAGAGACCCGGAGCCCAGAGGCCCCACGAGGAGGGAGCCGGGAATGACCTGCGCACTTCTCAACTGTAGGGGGCGCTATTCACACAGACTACGAAGTGAATGGTGTCCTTGGATTTATACTGCACGGCTTCCCGGCCTGGAATTTCTCAAATGCACACTGGCCCCGGGATGGGACGGAAGAGGGAAGCATCCCCATCCCCACCCCCGCCGCGGGTCAGTCGTGCCCCTGTGGTCACCAGCCCCAGGCGCCTGGTAAATCGGGCTCCCTGGCTCTGCCTGTCTCCTTGCTGCAGTCCTGGGTGCGGTCGAGCCTGGTGCTTGCGGCTGCGGTCCCGCAGAAGCCAGGAAGGCGAAGCCAGGGCCGATCCGGGCGACACTGCCTGTTCATTATAATGCGGGTTCATTGGTAAAAATGCAAATGATTCGTTTCACTTCACCCTTCTGACAGACTGTGCTGGTAGCAATAACTGGCTGCTCCCTACACCTGTCATCGCCGCGGCGCTGCTCACTTTGTGTAAAAGGCCTGCCACACTTCAGGTGTATATATAGCAGCCAACCGGCGTTGAAGCCCGCCGGCTGGAAACTCGATCATTCACTGCCCCCTAGTGGACTAGATGTGAATGAGCCAATACCCTGGGTTCTTTTGATTTAGCTTCTAAGCAAATCAGAGTTGCGTTTTATGTCAGGAAGAGTTTGCCAGAGTCTTGCTTTAGTCGTCATTGCTGGTATCTGTAGTTCTTAATTAACAGCGCTTTAATAAGATAAAATGTCAATCGTGGGGGACTCTTTGTGGAGCTGTATTTGAATGTTAAAAAGCCACGACATTTTCAAACAGTGTTTGAGTCCTCATTTGATGTTTATTTTTAAAAATCAAATTTTCTTTAGGCTAGAAAAAGGCTTACAGTGAATGTAGCATCAAAGGGTTCATGTTGCCACCTGGCAAAGCCATCATTTGTGCCTGAGAGAGAAATAAGTGTATTATAAGGTGCCTGTCTTGTCACCTAATCATCCTCTGGCAGGCTTCAAGGTCTTCACAATTTGTATGCTTCTTGGAGGTCACACATTGAAGACCTGGAATTGAGGACCCAGTCACACTCAGCAGAAGGGAAGCTACATTTGCAATATGCTGACAAAGGCAAGGGGAACTTGGTTCACCAACGTCATATCACAAGGGCTCTCTTGATGAGTGAATATCCTTGGACTTCGTTAGATGATTGCATCTAGCCCAGGATCATGCACTTCAAGATCATTTGATAATATTCATCAGTGTTACTTATATTCAGCATACTGAGAGACCAGTTTCTTAAAATTAAGAATCTATTTTTATACCCTTTCTGAGCTATTTCCTCATTTCAAGGACTAGAACAAACTTGTAATTATCTCCAAGTTCAGTGACTTCGTTGCTCTGACCTTTTGGTATACCTACTACTAGAATATTCTAGATATTAGAATAACTCCCTTTCCATAGCCTGGACTCTTGCCATAAAGACCTCCATTGATAGAGTCTAGGGCGGCCACACCCAAAGTCATCCCTTGTGTATGGATTAGCTTCTCACTTATGCACCTAGAGTGGTGCTATTACATACCATCCTTAGGAGAATTGACAAAATCATCCCACAAATCATTTTCTGTGCTTTGTGGTACAGATGAAGAAACGAGGCTCAGATGGTTACAGAAGAAGTGGAATCTGGGTGAGACGGGCAGAGGGATGATGACATGCCCCCCTGTAGGACAGCCCTGTTCATTTGATGCATTTATTTCAGGCTGACTGTAGGGTCGCCAGAGCCCTGATGAGAGGAAACTTCCAAGAAAGAAAAATATTGGTGAGAAAGCTTTGGCGGATCGGCACAGAGCAGAACTCAAATTTTTCCACCCCGCGTAGATCAGAAATAGCAGGAAACGAAATGCTTCAGTTCTTCCTAAGCAGACTGTAGTTTTCCTCAGACTAACACAGGAAGTGCTGCTGGTGATTCACCAGGTTAAACTTTTCCTCCCGAGTCAGAAGTAAGCAGAAACTGCTGTCCACGGTGGTGGAGGCTTAGAGGGCTCAGGGGGTGGAGGGGGAGGAGGAGGCTTGTTTACTAACTGGTCAGAACTCCTAGCCATGAAACTCAACTAGCCTGCTAAAGAATACAGTGAAACTCTCACCGTGGAAAGTTTCAATACAATTATAAAAATTAAATAGGCTTGGGGGATAACTTACCAGAGAGAAATAGGTCAGTAGATCTGCCTTCCTGTAAGTCCCCATTACAGCCCAATGAAAGTCCTATGACTGCCTATTTTATTAAAGTTGGGCAGACTGCCTATCGAGTGGCTTCATTTTACCTGACCTGGTTTTCCTCGGTCAATCAACATGTGTCATAGACCCCAAAGCACCCCGAACAGAGTGATCATCGGCTCTACCCCCTGGGCTCCCCAGCCCGTATCTCTGAGATATCATCTCTAAAGAGGTGCTCGAGTTGGGGCTGAATTAAGCGTCAGAGGCAGAGAGAAGGGGCAGCAGAGTGGGGTCGTGGGTGAAAGCTAAGAATATTCTTTCATCTGCCTGGGGAATTTTGCAACCTAACTGGAAGAATCAAGACCGAACACGTGTGAAATGCTTTAAAAGCGCACATAAAGGAAACACGTAGAATGCAGCCCATATTCTGCTTTTGAAGCTTAGCTGCTTCGGCCTCTGAGAATCACCTGGCCGAGTGTCCCTGGTAGGTGGGCGAAGTGGTCCAGCAGGCAGACGTGCACAGGGCCGGCCCCCGTTCCGAGCTGGTCATCCTCCTGCACGCCCTGCTGCCGAGGCCTCCCCGGCGGGTCTCTGACCAAGCTGCCTCCGGGGCCAGACTGAGCGCGTTTTATCTAAGGGGTTCGGAGCTGCTCTCTCTAGCAGCGGCTATAGCCTGGCCTTTCCTGTTGCAGTCTAGACAGACGCATGATTGAATGAAGGAGTCATCCAAGCCCTGTGCCACATTGGCCATCTGGAAAGGAGCCAACCACTCATTTAGCAAATTGCTCTGTTTAAATGCAGCTGCTGTGTCTCGGTGTTTATACTACCAAGACGGATCGCATGATTCCTCTCCCTTCATTTATCTAAGCCGCTCCTCTCAATCTGCCAAGAACTCAAAAAGACTGTTAATGCATGACGAGGCACTTGACCCGCATGATTTCCAAACCGAGGAGGAGCATTGGTCTTGTGCCGGGTTGTCCTTCCCTCAAAAGCAAGGGCACTTGCCTGTGCTCTCTGTCTTGATGAAAGCTGCCTTTATTAAGAATGCCATATAAGCTCCACGGCGCCCAGCTCTCCAACACTATAAATACACCCTTGAGAAGCGCATCCAGAGGCCCCGCGCAGGCAGCTGGCCTGGTCCCACGTGCTTGCCACGACAGTCTGACCTCAGACCTCAGCTTTCTGGACAGAGGGTGATGTTTGGCCGCCTGGTGCCTCTCTCCATTTGGAAAGATGGATTACAGTCGTTAGCAGATAATGTCAACAAAGCCTCTGAGATGATTTGATAAGACTTGGAAGCAAAATGATTTCAGACTAGCAATGAGCTCTAGGGTTTTTGTTTGGTTTGATTTGGTTTTTTTACTTTGGTTTCCTTTTTTTCCCTAAAGGAAATGGTAAAAAAAAGTTACTCCCGAGGTGAAGCAGTTTATTGTCAGGTTGTCACTGGTCACTGTGGCCGGGTACTGATTATGATCTGTTATTTATCGGGCAAATAATCCTGATATGACCACTGCTTCATCAACTGCTTAACTTAATTGGGGTCACGGTATCATTAAGTCTGGAAGCCGGAAGCCAGAATAAGTGAGTGTTAATTAAATTAAATATCATCTGATCAGCCTTAGCTAGGCCCAATGGAAGAGAAACTAAGTAGTACAATAAATGATCTTTGCCACTAAATCCTTTGGCAGACAGAAAGCAACACATACAGGAGTATTCAGCACAGGGCAGCTGGGAGGCACGCAGGCTTAGAGTCATAGCAGGGGCACGGGAGTTGCCAAGAGGGACAAGGTGCTAGCAAGAGCCGAGGGAGAGGGGATGTC